CACGCTGTCTGTGACTGAGCGCTCGAGATGGTAGGGCCTACGGCAGGGCCCACGGCAGGGCCGGCACAGGGCCCACGGTGAGCTGACAAGGAAAGGAGCTTAGCTCTGAGTGCAGCACGTACGTGGATAACTGGGATTAGGACGGTGACATTGTGCCGGGACAGATCCCACTTCCAGGGGTTGCGCAGAATTCTGGAACACTGTGCACAGACTTGGCACTGAACCTGTCCTTCCTACCTGGTGGCTCCTTCCGTCACTTCATGCATCAAACAGGCTACACACCTCCCTTGTGTGTGTGTGTGTGTGTGTGTGTGTGTGAAGAGGGCCCTAAAAAAAGTAGTGCAAAAGTTGAAATGGAGAGGGAGAGAGAGGGAGAGGGAGAGAGAGGGTGCGATTCTGAGTGGGTGGTTTGCTTTAGAGAGCAGTTCTTTTGAAATGTTCCAGGGCCCGCTAGAAATTTTCAAAGCTGGTTTCAGGTCAAAAAGACTCTTTCGAATTTGATATTTGGGAAGGTTCCTGAAACGCGTGGCCAACATGCTCATCCTTCAGGTGAAACAGTGGGGCTCCGTGTCCCACTGAGCATTGGGGCGCCGAGACCCACAAGCTCCCAGGGTGTCCTGTGAGCAAACAGCCCCGACCCGTGGAGCACAGAAAAGCACCCGGTCTTCTTTTCTAAGAAGATTACTTAACGGCAAAGACACTCCCACCGTCTATTGTCCGAAGCAAACGGAATCCAAGGGAACCTGGCCCCGACGGGGAGAACCAGTTCTGATCGTGTGCGCGGGCGCTGCTGCCACCCTGCTGTAGGGAAGCGAGTTTCCATCCTGACTGGACGGCACAGACTCCTTTCCGGACCCCACGGCGCCTTTTCCCGCTCCCGCGCGTCCTCCCGTCTGTGACGGGTGTCACTTCAGGGCCCATCCACGCTCTTCTCCCTCAACAGGTGTATCTTCAGACGCGGCCTTTATACGGGAGCACACACGTTCCCTTCCTGGACGGTGGCAGCGCTTCCCTTCTCATTTCTGTAGCTTTGATCGCACACTAGTGAGAATTCTCTACCTGAAACCTTTACTTTCTGGGAAGTAGGCAGTGGTGAGCCGTCTCGCGTGGGCTGCTGTGGACTGGGACTAGCAGGTGCCTTTTGTGGTTCTAGAAACGTGCTTTTTCATAAAAACTCCTCGACGTGGCGTAGGACGCCTGCGGACAACCCTAATGACCTCAGTTCTTGGCAGGGAGGAAGCGGAAGAGGTCAGCTCTGTCCAGGAGCGAGCGCTGCGCTAGCCCATCCTCCTTGGAAAGGACCTAGACATCAGCGAGCGGGAGGCTCTCAGGGCGTCGTTGTCCAGAGGCTCCGGGAATGTGTGAGTAGGCATCAGGCCATGATTGCCAAAGAGCTCGCCAAACCCTCGTCCTGTTTGCATCCCCTTTACTTGTTTGCTCTCATAACGTGCCGAGTGCTCAGGAACTCACGAGGCTCGAGACCAAGTGGCTCTCGTTCCCCGGGGAGAGGCCCTCGCCGCCCGGGGCTCGCGGGGGGGCTTTCCTGGGGAAAAGTGGGAGGAGGCGATACTGGAGAAAGCTTCATTTCTGCGGCCTCGAACCCCGGGGTTTCCAGGTTTCAGTGCCCTGTGTGACGCCCTCCGTCCACCTCACTGAGAGAAGCTACGGGAGATGGCGCTTTTCCCGTGAGAAACGGGCCTTTTTTGTCGGAACAGTTTGGGTAGAAAAGGGAAAGGCCGTTTCAAGTGAAGCCGATAGAGCGTCAGGTGTCATTGACTCGACTGTTAGCCCTTGAGCCTTATTTCCGGGCCCGTGTTGCTCCTGCCCGTTGTGGAGGGTGCCCGTGTGCGTGTGGACCCCACGCGATGGCCGGTGGCGGCCGTGGGGACACTGAGCCGCTGGGCGAGGGCAGACGGAATGGGTGCTCTAGGCACTGACTCTGCGTCCAGCTCGACCGAAGCCCCCGCTGCACTTTTAAACGAGATGGGGGAGGGGGGGTCTTGGGAAACTCGGGTTTGATTCCACGGAAATAAAGCTGCTTTCTTTTTGGTGAGTCCTCACCGGAGGATATTTTCCCGTGGATGTTTTACTTTATTTTATTATTATTTTTGGTCTTTCAAGATCCATGGATGTTTTCAGAGAGCGTGGAAGGGAGGGGGAGAGACAGAAACATCATGTGAGAGAGACACGCCGATTGGTTGCCTCCTACACAGCCCTGACCAGGACCAGGGATTGAGCCTGCAACCAAGGTACATGTCTTTGACCAAAATTGAACCCAGGACCGACGCTCTATCCACTGATCCAAACCAGCCCAGCGGGCTCACTCTTCCACCTCTAACTTTCTAGTAAATTTCTCTTCTAATTTAACCAAAAAATATGATACAAAATGTTTCCAAACAGGTTGTAAATAGAGTGGACTTGTTTGAGGCCCTTCCACGTTGGGGGGATCCGTGGGGGTCTTTGTCCCGCCGGCCTGGGGCAGTGCCGGCGACAGACTTCGCTGTCACCACCTCGTTTCGTAATAACTGTTGTCAGCTCCCTACCAACTGCCCCCTTCGTTCACCCGGTGTCTCTGCGAGGCGTCCGGCTGAGTGGCAGCTGCGGTCGGGGTTGTCTGACACGCCTGATGTCGTTATTCGTTTTAAGCCCATTGATCGGGGCAGGTGATTCATTGGCAGAAGCTCCTGAGGGCCCTCCCTCGGTCAAAGCCGGGTCTCTAACCGAGGCCCCTAGCTGGGCCTTTGACAGTGAGAGGAGGGAGGGGTGGTTCCGACAGGTGACTCCTGAGCTCAGGTGGACAGGGAGCGGCGGGTACTGATCCCACAGGCTTTTGATCCGGGCCTCTTAGCGCTGATCTGTGAGGCTTTTCTAACGTCTTTGGTGGCAGCTGTCTTGGGGTTTTGCAGAGCAGGTGTCCTTCTCCTCCGGTCGCTGAGCAGCCCTGCCGTTCCGCGAGCTCGTGGGACCGCCTGGGCTGACGGAGGCCTCGCCTCCCCCCTGAGTTCGAGGCTGTTGCTTCTGTGCGAGCGGCCGGCGGTTGGCAGGGCCCCGGCTGCAAGCAAGAGCTTAGCCCACGCTCTGTCCGGCATGACCAGCTGCCCGTGGGTGCAAGACCCACACTTACTTCTGGCTGAGCTTGGGCCCTAGCCTGACAGTTACCGAACCACGTCCACGGAACGAGCTCGCCGCGGGTTAGGCTGGGCGCTCTAAAGCTGCTTCTAGGTAGAAGTTTTTCCAATTTAAAGGATTCATCTCAATAGTGACTCAGAGCGATAGTCCTTTCATGGCTGAGCCCTGGACACAGGTGCCCGTCTCCAAAGGGAGTGCCCAGGGCAGCTCAGGCCCCAAGAGCTCCTCAGGTGGTCGGAGAAGGAGCCGCCCTCACCACGGGCGCTGGGGTGGTGGGCGCACACGATGTCCTGTCGCCCACAACAGGAGGCGCCCCGGCCACAGACCCGCTAACTCGTGGCCACGGCGAGCGCTACTGGGACAGGGTTGTTGGGGCCTCTCGTGACACTCCCCAGAGAGCCGGCCCAGCCGGGCAGGGACACGCGGAAACCAGTCTGTCCCCCTGCCCAGAGGCACCCGTGAGGGCACGTTCCAGATGGTGGAGGCCTGAGAAGATGTTCCCTGTGGTCGCAGCCAGGCTCTCGAGGTGAAACGGGAACCGTGGCCGTCGCTGGGGAAAGGAGAGGAGGAAACCTGAGCACTCACTCACCAAGCCGCCCGCCGCTCCCGCCTCTGACCGGAGTTAGAGAAAGAAAAAGGCCTCACCCTGAAGACACAGGTCCGGCGGCCGATGCGCAGGAATTTCCTACCTTCCGCAGCTGTTGTCAGAGGCCGCCTGGGAGTCCCGCCTGGGTGCTAAGGGCTGGTGTGAGGGAAGTTGACAGAAGTTCCTGGGAGAAAAGAACAGCTCAGCCTGTGCACACGGAGGCCTCAGACATGGAACCTACAGGAATGACCACAGCCAGCAGTTCCCTGTGTTTTAGACAGACCGTGCAGGACAGACAGGCTGGTGCTCCATCAGAGGAGCCTCAGCCGTGCTCACACCCTGTGAGTCCCTGTCTGACGCGCGGCCCGGCCCTGCCTCCCGGCTCAGGCTGCCGAGGTCCCTCCACGGGTGCGGCCTGGACAGAAAGGCTCCACAGAGAGTCCACGCGGACGGGCCACGCCGGCCGCGGGTCACAGTGCGGTCAGGCCCAGGCAGGAGCTCCTGTCGTAAAAGGCTTATCGTCGCCTCAAACCAGCTCTGCCCATTGTTGTCGTGCATCGACCTTAACACACGGTGGCCTGAGCGAGGCCCCAGCGCACCCGCCCCTGCACCTCCCTCCTCCCTGACCTTCCTGTCCCCTCCCCATCCCAGTGCATAGAAGCTGCTGCATTTGAGATCTTGTTCCCGGCATTGCTGTCAGTTTGGTTCAAATAAGCTCCTCCCCATTCTCTTCTTAGTCAATGGGGTGGCCTCCCTGAGCCCCACAGCACACCCCCCGCCACCCCCGACTGAGGAGCCCAGTGCATCCCACCTTCAGCAGGTCCTGCCCCCCAGACCCCAGTCCGGCCAAACTCCCAGCCTCGGAGCCTGTGCCTGGCGGCCGTGTTAGGAGCACCAGTCCCTGGGGGCCGTTCTCAGCCTCTGCCCGGTGCCTGTGCTGAGGGCGGCTGTTGCCACCTTCACATTTGCTTCTGTGAGGCGGTGTCTGGGCTGCCAGCCTCCTCTGGGTTGATGTCAGCGCCACGGTGTGCATCGCCGCGACCCTCCTGTGAGCGACGGAGACGCCAGCAGTTCCAGCCACAGAGGACTCAGCGCGGGAAGCTCGTGTCGGACGGGCCCGACCCGCTGTGGAGAAGTCATCTCCACGGGAATGGCATCTTGCGGTCCGTCCCGTGCAGACGTGCCTCCAGGCTCTGTAGGCGACGGAGCCCCCACTAGTGAAGGAGCGGAGAGTCGCTGGAGCCGAGGTCACGTCGAAGGAGGGACGCCGAGCCTCACGACGGACCTGCTCTTCGGGTGATACGGTCGCTGCCCCTCAGTGCCTGGGCTCCAGGAACCCCCCAACCACCCAAACCCTCGATGCTCGCTCCGCAGCCGCCACAGAGGAGGGGCCCAAGTCGGAGTACTCCCGCACACGGCCTCGCCTCTCACTGTTCCCCCGGGGAGGGCATCTCTGGGTCTGTTCACCATGTGTTGCTGCCACTTGGAGAAGCCGGGGAAGGGTT